TATGTCATTTTCATGTTGTCTAACACAATTTTATTGCTTAGCTTGTTCATTAGACTGTGGGTATTTCTTTCTTTCCATAATGGCTTATGACAGGTTTTTGACCATCTGTAAACCCTTGAGATATGGAACTATAATGAAGACTGAAGCTTGCATAAAGCTAATTTCTATGTTATATAGTAAAAAAAAGGTACTTGAGAACAACAAGTGCCACATACACACACACACCACTCCCTGTGTACAAATGGTACCAATGTAAAATGGCCAAAAGTAGTTAAGAATACTTATACATATGCAGATATATGCAGATAATGCATAAGCATTAAGATGTGTCCTTTGTCAAGTATAGCATTTTGAAGATTTCTTGTGTGCCCAAATTCTTTGCGAACTTATAATAATGATTGAAAAGGAGTAAAACTGTGACACCCACTTTAAGGATAAGGAGATGTTGATTTTTTAGAATGGTAAATTATGCTACCAATAATCTCAATTTTATTACATGACTGGATGTATTGAAAGCAGAAAAAAACAAGCAATTCAGTAGCAAATCAGCGATGAGAAAACAAGAGAAGGGAAAATGAGGCACGACATAAAACATAACTCTACTTTCTTGATGTGCGTACCAACAAAGTAAGTCAGGTCAACACAGTCTTAACTCAAAAAAAAGAAAATCTGGAAACAAAAAGATCCTGAAATGAGAATTTGCACCCAAAGATCAACCTGAAACAAAACAAAAAAAATATGAACGATACAGGAATATGAAATAAGTATATAAATAGTAATAAAATTTTAACACGAGTAGTTACGTCAGTGCAGATAAGAATGGAATTTCATCAAACAGTTATATACACTAGAAAATACAACTTTTCAAAATAATAAGTAACATAAAAAAATATGTCAACAGAACCCAAAATAAAAAGCACAGGAAAGGATATAAAAAAATGTTCACCTCATGGTACCTGAATGCTATCACAATCTACATTTGTGAACACTCATAAAAAAGAAAGAAAGAAGTGCTAGGGGGAGGCCAAAAGTAAAACACTCACAAACTAGGCTCCTGAGAACAATCAGCTGACTGAAGAATGTCAAAAAGTGAATCACAGCCAGAAAAAAATCCAGGAGGGCAAAATGAGCACCAAAAAAAGATATGATGCCTGCTAAAGATAGAAACTATTAAATCCAAAGGGCTAAAGTAGTAACAAAGACATGTTTTATAGGATGTACCTTAGAGATGAGAAGCTGGTCTGATAAAGAAGAATCGAACTGTATAAAAGAAGCATGGAGACTACACAAAATGTGGGATTCTAAAAAAAGCAACC